AAAATTCCAATCAAACTTTATGATTTTGTAAAATTGGCAGTATTTTTCTAAATATTCCAGTAAAGGTGTCTATGCCGGCGCGAAGCGCCGGCTCGAGCGAGAAAGTCCCGTGCGGTCCCCGCACCAATCCGCTAAGCGGATGGGGGGGGGCGAAGCCCCCCAAATGCCGGCGCGTAGCGCCGGTACGCGGCGCGAAGCGCCGCGCATAAATTGGCCGGAGGCCAATTTTTATTTTAGTGAAAAAATGGTTCTACCTTCCAGAGATGATTTGTTAGAGAAAATCTAAGTTCAAATTCGGATTCAGGAGAACAAAATTATGAGATAAACGTGTGTTAAATGTATTAACACCTGAGTAGGAAGCCGCAATGAATCAAGGGTATCTTCTTGATCAGTTCAATCGGTTTATTCCATCTAGACACGAATTTCATCAAATTTCAGACCCTTGCAAATTCTCTATTGAGACTAAAGTGTGCCGTAGTGGAGGTATCACCAAGGCGTCGACCTGAGTTAAAAGCGGCCGCCTCTGTTTGAATTCAGTTCAGATGAACTGATTCAAAAGCCGGGGCATTTGGTATCAAATCAAGTATTGAATACAAAAAGGCCAGGTAATAAGTTCGGAATCGGTGTACCTGAGCGCATAGCCACAGTGATCGCTCAGAGTTTTTGAGGGAAATCCCAAAGCCGAGGGAATGGCTATTCATAAGTGTATTGCAAACCAATTAGCGCTTAGTTCGCTCCTCGATCATGAACCTTGTGCGGATGCGAAAAATCGTATTGAATACGGGTTGAGGATAAAAAAACTCTGGGTACACCGTACGGCTTGGAATACTTGGTCACACGTGGGTATGATACTTCTGATGCACTGCTTTATTTTATTCCCTAACGTTTTGCCCATATAGTACCCCCTTTAAGGCTTTCCCGCCCGGCAAGTGGTCGCCTGAAGTAGATGCGGAAATGTTGTCACAATGTAACTGCCAAAAATAATGTTGCAGCAACGTTGTGGCAATGTTATTTTTGGCCGTTGCCGGACGGGTTGTCTCCACGGGACATTTCATGGGATTTGTCTCAGGGAAACATCTCACTTTCGAAGTTAGGGAAAATATCGAGTTAATCCATACTAATCACAGTATCAAGTAGAGTCCTTGTGGAGTCCTATGAGCGACTCAGAAAGAGGAAGAAGAAATTTTCTTGTTTTGTTCAACAGGGAGAAAGCTCAGAAGATTCATTCCTATGATTCAAACTTGGGGCAAATCCCATGAAACGTCCCGTGGAGGCAAGGCCTTGAAGAGGCTAATTTTGATTCGAAACCTTTCAGTCAAGAGGGGAGAAATTCTTTTAATAGATCCTGGCTGAAGGTGATGTCTAAAAATCAGAAGCTTGTTTTATTTACATATCCATTTTTTCTTGCTTCCTTAGAAAATTTTTTTATCACCAAGTCGTTAGGTGCTCATGGAAATTTTCCCTTTATTGCATCAAAAATTGCTTTTACGGTATCTTTCAATTATTGTGAATAGCGCAAAGAGATCTTCAGACTTCTTTTTCATAAACTGAAAGTCGTCAAAATTATCCCTATTAATTACAACAGAATTTCTTAAGTTTCATTAAATTACAAGCACCATTCTATGTTATTGGAAATCTTGAAGGAATCTAAAAAAAGAGGGAGCATTGGATGGGAACACAGAGTTTCCTCTTCTTTTCAGGAAATATATCCTCTAAGGTGTCCTTAAGGCTCAGCGACCAAAGCACTTATCCCTAATTCTTCATTCTTCCTGATCCCACCAATCCCTATTCTTGAGCTCACAAGCCAGACTCCTTCTATCTATGACATATTAGGTGGAGTTCAGCCTCCCGCCAAATAACTCTCTGAATTCTCTTCAGGAGAAGAAACGCATTGTCAATAATATAGATCGGTATAATTGAAACATTTTCTAATAATTATAAGCGATAATTTTCCTAACATCAGTCAGTATTTCAATAGAAGTCAGAAAATTCATCTGCGTTAGTCACTTTTCAAGCAATTTTCAATGCAAAAATGAGAAAATGTATATGAACGCCTCCAGACTATATTGAATTCAGATAATTTCCCCCCTTAAGTTAAGATATTTAACTAAGTTCTCTGAATGAATAGTTTGATGAATAAACTGTCTCTCTGGAGGATATAGGATCTTACAGATGTAGTGCCAGCGCATAACTTGAAACAGAGTTGACAGACCTTGGAGCGAATGCACTCCTCCGATGCTGGGATGAACTATTGACGTCCTTTTCCGCAACAATCTTAAACCTTAATTAATAAAGCCCATTAATTGTACAAACAATAAGAGTTCTCAAAAAGTATGGTGACGGCCTGCATGATCTTATCGACTATGCTGCGCTGTCGCTCACATTATAAACTCTGGTTAGGCGTCAAATGAGAAAAATGTTTTGCTATATCACTGCAAGAAAAATACTATGTTTTTCAACTGCAAAATACACTTTTAAGTAAGCTGAAAGGAAGGAAATTGACAACAATCATCGCATTAATTATTCCAGAGTCCAGACTAAGTGCTGATTGAAAGTATGCTGTATGTAACACGGGTAATACTTCCTCACAAAGCTTAAGAAATCGCTGATTAATTGCAGCTCCTCCGATCCATGAGCACGGAAATCACAGAAAAAGTTACTTCATCCTGTAAATCAACTGCTTAAAATAAATTTGATGTATAACTTGTTGAGTGGGATTATCCAGGAGATCGTGATTTCGTGAGTTTTGAGAGGGGAGATGCAAAAATGAACATAGTTGACTTGGGTTGTTGGTAGTACTAGTTTGGAGAAGGGCACTACGCCAGGTTTTTGATGCATCTGTGGTACGTCATATCTCTGATAAACGTAATTCTCTCATGCACAGAGGTCAGAAGCTAGTGCTCAGGGCCGAGCAGCTCTTGGAATCGAAGATTGACTTTCAATTTCAACAGGATACAGAGGAGAAAAAGAGAGATCTCTCTAAGAAAGAGGCGTGGGCCGCCGCTCCGAGTGGAAGCGAAGACAAATGTGTGCTCCGCGGATTCATCGCTGTGTCCAAGGATTGCATATCCCGGCGGTCTTCTGGGAAAGGTCTGCAGGTTATAGGCTGAGAGAGCGATGCCGCATCAGACCGAGAGCCGAGTTCCTAGCATCAGGAGATGAAGTGCCTCTTAGTCACTTTCGTAGCATCAAAACTTAGCATTAGAGCGAGACACTGCGCTGGCCTGGGCGGCACGTCAGCATGAGGCTTGGTGCTGGAGGCCGGCGCTGCCGGTGGGTTGCGCGCATTAGGTCCGGAGCCGTAAGCCCGCAGGGCCACTACCTGGGCAGGCATACAGCATTGATGCTGATGCTGTGAACCAACGCTGTACGGCATAGCCTCTCGTGAGGCGCTTCAAAGCCGGCTGGCACCATTTCGTAGCTGAACGCCCATCTCTGAACAACACCTCCCACATTCTTTTATACCTTGTCCAAGGTACACCTTCAATAAGGTAGCGACAAACAACACCCTTGTTAAAGTCACATAGTACTTAAAAACCCCAATTATACCTCTCCATGGGACTTAACCCCAAAAAAGTCCCCATCATAAAATTATTTAGTAGCTTTTACCAGTCGCCCCTCAATAAAACCGCTTATGATCAAGGCCTTTCAAAGTTTCAACAATAGGAAGCTGTCGTAACCTTTCTGGAGATCCAAGACCTTTAGGTTTAATTCCATCATTTTTGGCCTGTCCCCATCTTCTTTCTCGATTCTCTGGATGATGGTGAATGAGTGATCAATTTTTGACGTACCTGCTCCGAAACCTTCTTACTTCTCCGCATTTTACTCATGCCACTCATCCTCGATTTTCCCTCTCAAAATTTGTATGTATCCATGTGTTGTTTGTTTGTTTGTTTGTATTTGTTTGTTTGTATTTGTATGTACCTTGCTCAGAGTACTCATGACTGATAAACCCTGTATAGCCATCAAAGTAATCTGTTCTACCTATCTACATGTAAACGGTTAAAGCTATTTCCACCCTGAGGAAGTAATGATCATCGTTTCAAGAAAGACCTCTGAAACGGGGCCGTACATCTCATGCACGGGCCCATTTTGGTCAAACTTGGGCTTCGCGCGTAGAGTTTGCGACCTCTGTTCCGGCACGTTCTTGCTTGATTTGTTTTGAGTAGCGGCGAGCTTTCTCGGGGCCGAATATTGGGCCCGATATTCGGTCTTGGCCATGGGTCGCCTCGTCTGCTGCTATAAAACAGCTGATCAATCGACGTGCCGGGGTCTAACGTTAATTCATAGAGGCCCGCAGCCCTACGCGTAAGTAGCAGGAGTTTGAAGTTGAAGTTTTAGAAGTTTGAAGTAGAAGTTTTAAGTGTGTTTTGTGAAGTTTTGCGTTGTTCCTCAGCTCTACCCAGCCACCAGGGCTCTCCCCCCCCCCTTACAACCTCCTCACTCTTTGACTTGTTCAGTCTTCATTCTTGTGTCTCTCGGAACCAATCACATAATTAATGATTTACTTTAAACTACGAGTGGACTGAACCAATTATATCTGTGGAATCCTTGTGTTGGTGCAATCCATTGAACACCTTCAACTCTCTTTGCTTGCATACATCAACGATACAAACCCTCTTATTATTTACTGCATCCTCTCCGAAATGGCTTACGATCTTGCTATTATCTTGTTGGCCGATTCCACCATTCAAATCACTTAACACAATGATCTATCCTCCAGATTAAATTTTAGTACACTTTCTTCCCGTGATGCATGATGTATGGGTCTCAGAAAAAAGTAAAAAACAACTCAGTCCTCACACACACCATAAAACGTGTGCGGAGCAAGCCTCCTCTGAAGGGCAAAGTGGAGGTTTTTTTTTAAGTGAAGGCTCATTCATTTAACATTTAAAAAGCTATCTTCAAGACTTGTAAAATGTTTGTTTTTAATTTTTAAAATATTTTTTTGTGGAAAACAGTAATAGTTTCAGTCATATTACTTTCTCTTTTAATTATAGAAATTGACCCAAGACTTCAGCCTATTTTCTTTGGTACGAAATATGCGAAAACAGAGAATTGCAATGGTCCAAACGAAGGAGCAGTATGTTCTTGTACATCAAGCTGTGCGAGAGTTATTTCGAGAACAGTTAAAGACAATTGATTCCCATCCGTATGAGAACATTGACTGTAATGGAATGCCACTCTTCAAAGATTTAGATCCTATCTACGATTTTGTCAGTGCCCCGCAAGAAGAAAAAGCTGAAGTTAATGGTAGGTGATTTTAACCATCATTTGAACTCTTTATTTCACGGATGCCTTTGTACCTTAATGACTGGTTTTATCTGCAAGGAATATAAGAAAAAAAGGGGTTTTGTTTAATTATGCTACACTACACGTTTTCAAATTAAATATTTATTAGTCATCAAAATCAATGTCTTGCTTTGAAGGAGGCAAAAGAGCCCCAAAATATCTCACAGAACCTATTTTATCCTTTTAGTCTGCATTTGGTTGTTTTGTATATTCTTGTGGTACTTAAATAATGGGTACAGTGGGTAATTGTCTGCTATCGTTAACTTTTGAATAATTTTTTTCAAAAAATGAACTCCAGAATCGCCCGTAGCAGGTATTGTGTTTAGAATTTAGTTGTGTGGTAGGACCTAGAAAAGCAGACGGATCAACTTTTTTTAAAAAAATTTGACGCGCAGCCGGCAGAAATTTTGAAGCGAGAAAAAATCTCACCTCCGTCCCACTACTTCTCTTCTATTATCTATGCTCCAAACCATCAGTATGTTGTCAATTAAACAAAAATTTAAATTGTTCAAGATGCCTATTACAAACCAGAAACCAATTGAACTCCAAAAACTCTGAATTTTTTCATCAGAGGCAGAATATTTGCTTAAAAAGCCTATTTTTTTAAAAAAAATATTTACTTTCTTTCTTCTGATTCTTTGCAAAACCTTTAAACGTCTGAAACACTATTTTGCTCTTAACCCGGCCACTTGTTACTTGAAATCACAATTCTCATTTAAGTTGGTACAGTAAAATTTGAAGACGTAAAGTTCAAAATACAGGATGGGACAGAGGTGAGCTCCCACATTTGACTGGGTCAAGAGCTATGATAAATTCAATGAAATTTTTGTAATACTGCGAATGTAATTCACAACATACACACAGCTCTGGAAAGGGGGGTATTAAAAATCGGCGATTTTTCCCCCCTCCTGGATTTTTCACAGAGTTGGATATGTTGTTCCTTATTACAAACACGCATTTTTCCGGCGATGCCAAGTTCACCAAAATTTTTCCTGCGTGCTACAGCGTTGCAAAGTTGAAAACAAAACAATGCCGGAAAAGGGCATTAAAATCAAGCTATAAAGTCGCGGTTTTAACGAAAATTCCCTAAAAATCGCGCTTTTAAAAGAAATGTCCATGTTTATAATGACATTACAAACAAATTTTAACATACATTGTTGCCAATTTATCCATTTTTAAGTTCATCAATTTTTACAATGTCGCAAATATTTCAAAAGGGCTCTATTTTGGTTTGAATTAAATGTTGTCTAATCGATAGTTTGTTTGATTTCGCATCCATCGATACTTTATACCTTGCATTGAAATGTTTTGTTCCCGAGATATGGCCAATTTTATAAGGGGCTTTTTGGAGCAAAACAGTGCTTATAAGTGCGTGTTAAGTCCAGTCAGATAGGTCTTTTAGCCTTCAAAAACATCAGGTGGCATTAATTCTACAGTACCCTGTGTAATTTTTGACACTGAATCCGAATTTCAATCATTTTTCACAAAATTTGTGCTTCAAAGTCGCCAAATTTGGCAAAAATTGCTTTAAGTCGGCCTTTTTTGCAGATTATGGTCTGTGTGTACTAAGTGCTGATCTGACGACAAAGTCGGTTGTTTTTAAGTTAATGTTTGTTAAATTTCCTATGAAATAGATTCAATGCTTTTGGCTTATTGCGAAATTAAACATTGGTATGCCAAGTAAAGTTCACCAAGATTATTATAGGAGCTATTTTAGCTGTTTTGAGTGAGTTAAACGATTCAAAACTGGTCAGAAGTTCGTGGAAGATGAGGACCACAGGATTCGACCATGAAAGGCAACTGACAACTGTCACATGGAAGAAATGCGAGCAAAAGTGCTCGAAATTGGTCGTTTTGAGCTTGCTGAATAGTGTAATATTTCTGAAGTAAAGGCTCTGTACATACAATTTTGATAGAATATGTAGACATGCTTTGAATTTCAGGTACACTTGCCCCTTGATTGTTGTCCGTTAAATAAAAATTCAACCGAATGTCAATTTCTCTTTAGTCGCTTGAACGTTCTAACGATGACCCTACTTTTTTGGATAGAATAATTTTCGGTGACAATACTTGAGCGTACGGATACGATATGGAGACAAAACTCCAATCATCTTTGTGGGTTGAAAAATGTAGTGCAAGACCGAAAAAAGAGAGACAAGTTTGATCAAACATAAAAATCGCAGAACATCCACGAGGTTGACTTACTTCAAGCCACATACCAACAAAGCTAATTAGGATTTTTCAAATTTGTGAACATAGCGTTCTCAAGTATATTTCCACCTATCAGGGAAGTTCGAGAAAACCTGATTCGGACGCTTTGTGGGCTAGTTATCACCAAAATCTGGTTTCTAATCTAACAGACCTCGTACGAGAAGCCAGGATAGTGCATTAGGAAGAGCTCATGGTTCAGAGCAACTCAGATGTTTCGAATTTTTCTTTTACAAGCCTCAACAATACCTGACATTTCCAAACATTGGGTCTCACAAGGGTTTCTGCTTTCGGTATGCATGCTGGATTTCAGTTTTGAGGATACCCGGCACTGTATGTACCTCCATTTTGGCAATTAATCGAATAATTCTTCATAAAAGTTTCAAATTCACCCCTGTCCTGGTGGAATTTGGGACAGAGGTGAGAATTCTGCTTGTTTTGATTTCAAAGTAGAAGAAAATCTTTATAATTGCCTTAACAACATGAAAACCTTGCAGGGATCAACATTATGTGTAATAAAACAAATTGCTGAAGAAATGACTCGGTTTTTATGGAAATTGGAAGGCGGACATAGTTAAGCACGTTTTTTTTACAATAGTAGACTCTATTTTCTGCCAGCATAAACCACCACGTGGAATGCATCACAATCCCTTCATGTGAACAATTTTGAGTTCTTAATACACCGCTGTCACAACTTTATTACAACTTATTATAAACGCACATACTTATCAAACAGGACTGCAGGTGGCAGAAACGCGAATCAGACACCTGGGAAAGAATGTAAGCTGAAAAGTGGGTGACATGCCACCGGAGTCGATTTTTGGTCACCTAATGCCTTACTCACTCCACAAGTCTTGGTAAAAACTAAAGTAGGGGGTTTGAGTGAATGAAAATTGACTGCTCCCGATTTTTGAGTTCACATTTTATTCCTCTGCCATTGTTTACATTTTAAAAAATGGTGGGTGACTGGGACAGAGGTGAGATTTTCTGCCGTATTTTGCTTCCGCCGAAAAATGAAGAACTTCTCGCGGTGTCTAAGTGAATGTTTTAAGCTCACACAAACATCCTGCTTTAAAAAAAAACGATTGACTTAAAATCCTTTGTAAAATGATGGCTGAAAAGCTGCAGGGTCAGAAATACTAACGATAGTAGAGAATTACCCAGTGAATGAAAAATGAGCACTTGAAAACCTTTGAAGTTCATATTGGTGAAAAATGTTTGTGTACTCACTTGCGGTCAATTAATTACGCAGAGTTTGCTGCCAGCCGAGGATGGAGCCCTAAGCACCGAAACGCATCCCACATTATTAATTTACCACAAGTGAGTATACAAAATTGTTTTTATTATATTTGACTTGTAAATATCCTGCCACAAAGTTTTATATTGGTATCTCAGTTAAACATTTTCAAACCTTGTAGAACGTACAATTAAATCAGTGTCTTTGAAAACTTCAAAAAAATTCTAAACTCATTCCCTCAGGCAGAGAATCAAAGCATTAACTATCAGTAATATGTTCATCGGAAAAGGAGAGCAAACATTTAGAGACAAAGATCTTACATCCTTAATTTATTGCTGTCAAAATCTCACAAACATGAGGAATGAAAAACAGTAAGTAAAGGTTATGTCGGATTCAATTATATGGAAATTCGGTGGCAATGCAATAAATTACTATGTAAAATAAGTTTCAGGTTTCAAGAGAATGCAATCTGTTGCAGAACAATCAAAATATTGGAAACATCAATGCCTAGTTGACTGATTGCTCTGAGTAGTTAGTTCAGTCAGCAGGTTAAATTCTTGTCTTGAGTGTCATTGCGGCTGCTGAAAAGAGGGCAACCAAATCAGTACACTTTAATAGCATTTTATCATTTTCTAATTTAAAACTCTACAGAGATCCTCTTTTTCCTTTTTCGTATTTACAGAAAAACAAGATGAAACAGAGAAAAACTCAGGAAACTCAATTTCAGCTCCTCTGCTTCCAAGTAAGAAAAGGATTCCACACATTGCATCTAAAGAAGAGAAAGAAGTTGAAAACTTGTCAGAAAAGCAGAGGTTGGTAGAACAGGGTGAATCAAGCTGTGAAAATGTGGGGTCCAGCTGTGCCGAAAATACATCAAAACATGGAGTAAAAACTACCAAACTAAAAGCTTCTTGTGAAAAAAGTGGCCGTGATAGAAGGTGTAGTACTGCTAAACAGTCAGCCATGTCTCGGAGTCATTCAGTCGGCACAGTTCATAAGTCTGGTCTGGATGGGAAGGAAAAAGCTCTTACTCCAGAAACGAAAAGGCTGAAACCAGCTAGATTAAATTTAACTCCAGGGCAGCTCCCAAATATTTTAGCTGCTAATGATCATCAAACTGCAACTGTTCAACCAATAGTCTCCCCTAAACATTCAAAGAAAAGGTCACAGACAGTAATCAAAGCCCACAGTAGTGGCAAGTCAAAATTTATTGCTCAGATAAGGAGAAGTAAGTCAATGAAGGCCATCAGAAGTGACGAGTGGAATGTATTGACTTCTTTGTCATCTGACAAGAAGCATACAGAACCCAATACCTGTGATATTATTTGTAGCAGGGAATGTATGGCATCTAGTAGTACAGCCAATGTCCTCAGAGAAAAAAGTCTGAGCTTAGAATCCATTGTTAACAAAGGAGATGAGGCACCAAGAACTATTGGTCAAGTCCATGAACAAACCAGTAGAATAGATTTACTCTTAGACGAACAAACAAGAAAATTCCTTCAAGATTGTAGACAGTATCTTTTCGGCGGAAAAAGCTCAAAAATTGGTGAGACAGCAGTAGTCTCTCGAGTGAAGGAGAGACGCAATAGTTTTTGTCAAGCTGTCATTAAAGGTCTCAATGAAAATACTAAATTGAGTGAATGTGAAACAGATATCCTGAATGTGCCAAAGAAGCCTTCTTTAGTCAGAAGTTACACTGCATTGGACATGAGAGCAAATGGGAGTAATTTAGTAAAATATTCGCCTATAATCTCTAAGGTATTTTCCCCCTCAAAAACAGGTTCTAGCCACAAACATAGTCACCCTCATAGCTCATTGTCAAATGAACATTTTTCCTCTAACAGCGCCAGTAACTCAGCCTCACTGGAACCAGGTATTCCTGGAAATTCCCCTCTGTATCAAAACATGCCAGTTTTAACTTCAAATAAGACTCCTTCACATTCCAGTCCAGCCGTGAGTCCACAACAAAACGACGTGTATTCTAACATGAGCTGTAAATCAAACCTATTACTCAAATCAGGTGAGGGAAGTGTGCTGAAACATGAGAAGCAACTGTCTCAGTCAGCTGTCACAAGAAGAAATTCATCTGAATCAATTTCTACAAATTTGCTGCAAGATACCAATTCGTTCTTTTCATTTCCACCATCAAAACTGAAAATATCCCAAGAAGAGATCTCAGAGTCTCAAGATGCTTTAAAGAAGTCGCCCAAGAAAGGGAAAACCATGCGCCAAGCTTTTGTCAGCAATACGTTTCCTCTTCAAGCATCAAAATCAACTTCGTCTGGCTATTCAAGCAGCTCATCAATGGAGAGGACTGTTAGGCAACCGCGAATAAATCCTGATTTTAGAAAAAGTGATCCAGTCATTCAAAACTATTTAGATTCCGGCTCAAACAAAAGACTGTCACAAGGCAATATACCAATGAAAGAAACCGACTGTACTGCCAAACCGTATCTCATTCCATCAATCGGACCCAGGTTGAGAACATCCCCAAAGATGCTGCCTAATCCCACCATATTGAAAAACAGACCTCTGTTTCCGCCCTCTTACCAAACTGCTTGTGCCAGTAGTGTTGTTAGTAACACAAATCTTTCAGAACTGCAAAGCTGTGATGCTCTCAGAAACCGTCCAAACCCAATCAAAGCCAGTATCTGTAGTGTCCTTACAAGCCCTCATCATCTTGGTAGCAGCACGCCTCCAAACAGTTGTGAAATTCTAAGTCCTGTTAGGCAACCCAGTGTATCAAATGCCCGTGCCCTACCTCCTGATCATAGATACAGCAATGTATTCACCTCTTCCCAATCAATGAATCATTCACCTCAAAATATACCCATCGTTGAGCCTCAGAAGCCATATTTAGCATCAAGTACAAAACAGTCTGGATGCGGATACAATCCAATATCAGGACCAGCTGATAAGACTGCCAAATCAAGCAGGAGTAAGCCTCAACATTTGATCGCAAACCTAAAGAAGTTTCCCGATCCAACAGGTGAGTAAAAATTTAGCTTCTTATCTGCAAGGTCCTACTTTCTTTGGTTCAGTGTACACAAAAGGTTCTGTCAACTCACTAAACTATTTTGAGGTAAAATTGCATTAAAATCCCATTGATCTCGCCATGTTAGCGCCCCCCTCTGCTTTTTGAGAACAGACGGGGAGCTGGAAAGTAGAGTGATGATGTTAAATTAGGGGGGCAGGAGAGCTTCCATGTACCAAATATTAGAGTATCCTTAGAGAGAGAATATGAACAGACATGAATCTCTGAAAATCCATCAGATGCCCTTGCCAATCCCTCCTCAATGAAAGTTAGGGCCCCAACGAGCAGCTAACCTATGATTTCAACTTACTCGTTGTTATTACTCGTAAATTCACAATTTACCTCATACGAAATAAATCTCCTGGTTCTAAGTTAGGTATATGCCGGTTTCCTTGATAGCATATTTTGCAATTTTGTAAAAAAAGTAGTATAGTTGCAAATATTTAGTGTATTGAAGAAAATGTTTTTGACAGTCATTTTTTTAGCTTTCCCTTATGTCTTTTTCTACATTTTTATGAACCCCCTATAACTTCACTGCGAAGGGGGGGAGGGGCTTTATCTGTATTACAAAGGGTGTCCCAAAAGTAAGTAGACTGATGCTGCCATTTCAAACTAAGCTACCTAGCAACTTGATCTTGGTCTCATTTGAAAGATCTAATCCTCTTCTATTGATGGAGACCAAGATCAACTTATTTGAATAAAAATTCAACAAGTTATGACACTGTATGTAAGGGGTGTATGCGCGCCGCCTACGGGTTTTTAACAAAAATTTATTCTTACCGAAATTAGTCTTCACTTCCGCTATCGTCAGACTCCACCAGATTATCAGATTGCTTCTCAAAGTATTTTCCATTGTTGTTTATACACTTGTGTATCCTTTCCTCCCATTTCACGAGCATAGTCTGCTCAAATTCTTCCTGGGGAAATTTTTTGAAGGTTTTTTGGACAGCCGTCTTGATTTCTTCCTTGGTCCTGAATCTTTAACGGCGATGCTCCTTCTTAAGAGTAGGTAACAACCAGAAATTGCATGGAGCAAGATCTGGGCTGTATAGCGAATGTCTTAGAAGTCTAATAGGTACCTTTGCTTTCCAAAAATTCACGGGTAAAATTCAAAAAATCATCAGAGCAAACCGCTCGCGCGCAGTGCAAAACTGTTGCATGCCGGCGAAAACACTCGATATGCGTTATGAATAGCGTCCGTCTTATCTCGTCACCATGACGACGGTTCAAGTCTAAACACGACCATACCCTGTTGCTATGTTGCTTCTGGTATTAGCAAGTAGTTTACAGTGAAGGAAATGCATTCGCTATGTGGAAGAGACAAAAGGAAACAGAAAATAAACACTTTTTATGAAAAACTTGTAGGCGGCGCATGTACACCCCTTACATACAGTGTCATAACTTGTTGAATTTTTATTCAAATGAGTTGATCTTGGTCTCAATTAATAGAGTAGGATTAGATCTTTCAAATGAGACCAAGATCAAGTTGCTAGGTAGCTTAGTTTTGAAATGGCAGCATCAGTCTACTTACTTTTGGGACACCCTTTGTATTGTGACCGTTTGCTTCCTTTTGATTTTTTGAGTTTCACATTTTTTTTTACAAATTTTCTGACTTATTCCTGCTTTCTTAATAGCAGAAATGATAACGTTTCAAGTGAAGGATTTGTTTCTTTTTCTTATTTGGTAGAGTACCTTTAAAGGGAGAGTATGGGCAGATTGTTTCATAAAGGCATTTGGGCTCTTAAGGGCAGCCAACTTTCGAACACTTAAGATCCAAAACAGACATTCAGACATTTCACATCCAGATCAGAAACTTTGAAAATGACTATCAGCATTTACCTTCTAAGTTTTCAGGCAACAGATGACAATATATCTTTCTTGATATCATTCAAACGTGTTCAAATACTGTGATAAATACTGGAATGCGTCCCGTGTTAGAGAGGAGGAATCATCCTTGTAGGGTCGGTGAATGTCAATACTTCCACATTAAAATTTGAAGAAAGGTCTTAACCATGATAATTAGAAGCACCAGTCTTTTAGTACCTGCTTTTTAATTTGAAAGGAAGTAAGAAACAAGCCACCCTATCGTTTGTTTCCACGTGATTGGTTTATTTTGCAGGGGTTCGAATGAGGCATGGCTCAAGAGATGACTTGGCTCTGTGTGGTGCAGCTTCCAGTTCCTTCAACAACAGAGTTAAACGAAATGCAAGTGTTGTAATATCTCGGGGTAGCTTGGTTGAAACCAGCCTCCACCCCCAATCCTCTACAAACTGGAACGCATTTAAAGGTAGGTGCTCAACTTTGCTTAATGTCAGAAGAATTGAGAAATTTTTCCATTGAAACAGGTATTGATTACAAAATCTGTCGCGATTTTTTACGTAATCGATGCAATATGATGCATGCTAGTGTGGCCATGCCAGAAACTGGGATAAATCACCTTAATTTCAATTTTTCCACTTCACTTCATCTAACTTTATCAAAATTTGTAAAAATGTTGCATCAGAGTGGTTCAGACCAGCTGTTGTTTTTAAATAAGTCCAAAATATAAGTAGGAGCACTCAAGGAACCATTAATTTTAGATTTTAGGTATACATGCAGATATACATACTTTGAGGTGTAATTCTGTGAAAAGAAAAGTTTAGTTTTTGCCCTGCCTTTGAGTGACATCATTTAGTGCTAAAATGTATTTTAAGCCAAAATTTGACAACATGACTCTTCTTGATAGTCTCAGAAAGAAGCAAAGGTCATGGGGCATTTTCTCCTTTAATTCAAGTATCTTGACAAGTCAATTCTGAAATTTTGACAAATATCAATGCATTTCTTGCAGAAATATGAATTTTTTTGGTAGGTGACTAGGTAAATTGGAGACCAAAACAGCAAAAATTGAAATATTTTCCATCTTTGAAAGATTTAAGACCAAAAAATTTGCATAGGCTCATAACTTTAAAGTACTTTTCACCAAAAACAATTTCAAGGAAATCCGAGCCGGTGGTTTACATCACTGGACCACTTGGAAAATAATGAGCCTTTCAGTAGAGTGTCACAATGTGCCACGTCCAAAGACGAAGTGAAAGAAAAGAAGTTGAAGATGGTGAAGTGAAGTAACATCGAAAAAAATTTAAAAGAGATCCATCTCTAGGACAGGACCCAAGGCAGCTAGGCAAACCAACACACAGACCTAGAACTCCCTTATTGAGGAGGAGAAAAATGAAGAAGAACTGAGGTAAAGTGTACTGAAAGAAAAGGTGAGAACTGTTCTGGCATAACTCGAGGAATGGAACATCTCGAAGAAAGTACCGCACCATCGAAAGCCATCCTGGCCCAAGTAATGAGAGGATATTGCGGGGAAAACTTCCTGGAAACTAGCCAGAAAAGATATGCCAGCAAAGCAATAGAAGGCCAAAAAACTCCAAATATTTTTTCCTTTAAGTATCAAATTTTGAATGAATTTACTTGATTGTCATATACTGCATGAATTTGTATCCCATTCTCTATTATGCCGCACATTGGTTCCAGGGCCCGATCTAGGTCATCTAGGTGGCATTAATTAGAATATCACTGATGATGACATGTTATATATGTTACTAGGGGTTCTTTGGGTCGCCAATTACGAATTTGAAGTCAATTTGACTGTATCATTTAGCATAGGGTGGTAAATTTGCATTTAGCTTGAAAATTCATACTTTATACTACATTAACATGGCTTAATTCCTGGACTGATATATTTTTCAACCTTTTTTGATTTATCATCAAAAACTATCGATGAATTTACGAGAATTTGTCCTCTAATTACAAATTTTTTTATGGGGGGGGGGGGCAATGTTGTATAATTTTGTGAACCAGGAATTGGTATTATCTGGTAAAATATACCTCCTAAATGTTGTGGTTTCCCTGAGGAAAATAAATTCCAGTACCAAAGAAAACTGCTTATCCCACTATTCGAGTTGTTCATACAGTGTTGACAAATCAGCGTAAGAAGAACTTTATTTGAACCTCAATGCTCGCTGATTTCTTGATTCGCCGCGCTTTAAAACCAACAGAAATTTTGAAGCTTTGTAATTTAATGGTACAATTATGCTATCAGAATTATTATGTTATCAGAATAACTATGAATTAAGATTCGATCTTCGTCTACAATTCAAAAAATACATTTAAATTCATTATACGCGGCAATTTAAACATACGTAACATAAATATTTTACTTGAACAAGAAGTATATTCACTCAATGAAGGAAAGCAGAAACCAAAATTAATAACAAAGTATTTTGAAAGAAAAATGATTACTGTCTGTAAGAGCAGGAAAATATTCATCGGTATAATATTTTATTGCGCATCAAAAAGAGTGAGGTGTCACACTTGCTTTTTTTTCTTTTTTAAACAAAGTTGTGAGCTTGCGATGATTTCAGAGCCTTAAAAACCTGAGAGAATAAAAACACGAAGAAATCATGAACCAAGAAAGAAATAAGCATTTGTTGTTAAGTTAGAGGACATTTACTCATACACTCACGGAATAATGCGCGAGGAGTGCAGTAAGCTCCTTTTCTGTGGAACAGTGCTATGTCTATGGGCCTCTCTAAAGGTACAGACAATGTGAAAAACAATTATCTAAACGATTGAGAGGATTTAAGAACCCACGTGTTCTGTATTTTGAGCCATAATGGACCACTAGACAAGGTACGAATTTCAGCATTCTGATACATGTTTCGTTACTAAAATTTCACGTAGAACACGATGCGCACATAGAAAATTACCGAAATTAACTCCTTACGAAGATATTTGATGATTCTTGATGCGTGAATTCAAACCACCCGCTCATTAAAACTCAATTTTCTACGTGATTCACATCGCGCTCTATACGTTATCATGACAGTCTCTGCGATGTAAACATCTGGCAACCTCAGTCTTGACGCTTTGGCTCAGCTGTAGCAAATTGCTTATAGTTTGAACAACACATGGTAGAAAATGAACATTGCTCGATTGAGAGGCTTGCAGAAACCGTTGTAGTGCGCGATTTGACTCGCGTAGAGCTTTGAGTTTCTTGTGAGCGGGCAGTTCAAATTCGTTGTAACCAATGTGAAATAAAAACGTTAATATCTTCGTTAGGAGTTGGTTTCAGTAATTTCCGTTGTAAGAATCGTGTTCTACGTGAAATTCTGGTTAAGAAACATGTATCAGATTGCTTAAATTCGTACCTTGTCTAGTGGTCCATTGTAAAATTTCCAGTCAAAAAACGGGAACTGTCTTTAGTCTATGGGCTTCTCTACAGGTATAGACAAGGTGAAAAATAATCATCCCAATGATTGTGAGGATTTGAGAACTCACGTGATGTGCAAAAAATGCAGTCCTCAAAGATCTGGAGTCTGCAGTAGTGCAGTAAGCTCCTCAGTGTGTCAATTTTCTTCATTTCTCGAAGGCCGGTTTTGGAAATTCAAAGTGTGCTAACCTCCAGGGACGCAAGTATGCGCAGGGTTTTTTTGCTCCGAAATCAAGTGTAGGGTCAGCACTAACTACTACAGTCGGTCTGCACGTGTGCGAACTTACGCAGGGCCTTTATTTTGAGTCATAATTGTAAAATTTCCAGTCAAAAAACCGGAGCTGTGGTAAGTCTATGGGCTTCTCTAGAGGTATAGACAAAGTAAAAAATAATCATCCTAACGATTATGAAGACTTGAGAACCCACATGACCTGTAAAAAATGCAGTATTCATATTCCCAAGGATCTGAGGTCTGCAGTAAGCTCCTTAGTGTGTCAATTCTTTATTTTTTGAAAGCCGGTTTTGGAAATTCGAAGTGCCCTAACCCCCAGGGACGCAAGTATGCGCAGAATTTTATTGCACTAAAATCAAGTTTAGGGTTAGAACTGTGGTGGTTTCCAGGATCTTTCAGCGAAAGATTCTGGAAACCCCATCAAACACCCTCCAACCAACCTCGGTGGGAAGCTCCGCTGCGTCGTGGGTGGTATGCTCGGGCGACGAACGGCAAGCCAGAGGCAGGCTGAAAGTGGGTCGCGCGGGCATTACACCTGTACAAATGCTGAGGATTGCATGATGTGACTTGTCCTTACATCGAATTCAGCGGAAAGAATGCCCGTTCGTGGTCGTCTTCAGTCCGAAAAAGTGACGATTGTTCGGCCAAAATTGCTGACCGATCAATCGTCGAGTTTTCCGGCTTAGAGTGCGGCCACGACCCCGGGGAAGCTTTCTGAGGGAGTTGCGTTTTGGACCCGGGTGGAGCAAGGTGCTGGTCATTGCTAAAGTCTCGCTGTTTGGCTGTCTTCACCCCCCCGCAACCCCTACAGTACTAACTACTACAGTAGGTCTGTATGCGTGCGAACCGGCGCAAGACATTCATCTAGAGCCATTTTTGTAAAAATTTGCTTGGAATTAGTAGAAAATAACGCTTTGTCTAACGGCTTGTCTAGATGTATAGACACGTTTTTGCAAGATAGTAAGAACGTATAAACCTTTAGCATTCCTTACATTTTTGATACACCATAACAGAACACTTCACATTTGCATCTATTTCTGTGTGATGAACTTCAAATCATAGGACCTGACAGTAAACACTGAAAACTGGTGCGAGTCCGCCCGAAAGTACCTCGCGGCCTCACCTTTAGGTGCTCATCATTTCCTTATTAGTGATCCAATCTTCATGATATTTGGCCTACTATTGTGCATACTCTCGAGAGTATGCACTATCAATCTGTGGTGTCAAATTTTAATTTTTCCAAAATTCATTTTTTCGAATTAATGCCACCTAGAGCGGGTCTGGGAACCAATGTGCGCCGCCGCGACTCTTTTAGTACTTCGACCCCAGAACGGGTGAATTTGGGATTTTCCGTTCACAAGTGATTACCAAAACAGACGAGTTCTTGAAGCTCCGCTTGATAATTCGGCGACGTACTTCTCAATTCCCCTAAAAACAAAAATTAAATTTTGGGACAAAATTTCAGCACAATCCATAACAAACTCAACAGATACCTATTGGAAATAATAAAAAAAATGCATAAAAATGAAATGAGATATCCCATACATATGACGACAGGACCATTTGGTTTCATCATTTAAAAGTAAGTGATATCAAAATGACCCAATTTCCCTCTTGATGCCTGTGCAATATGCTGAACAAGTGAACACCCCCAAATTTTTCACGCAAAAAAATTAAATACTCATCTACAAGGTATGACGGCCTGGAACACCTTTTGATCCATCGCTTTAAATGAGTAATATCAAAACGGTCAAACTTCCCTGAAATATGCCCACCAATTGGAGCAAACTTCTTCGAAACCTCCCGACTCATCGCTTATAAGAGACACGGATCATTACTTGACCCTTAGTATACCTCCTCGTTTAGTTATCAAAGAGATCCCTCTGAAAACTGTGATGAATTATTTTCTTTTAAGGACACAAAAAACCGTCATAAAATCGGAAAAAAATTCGAAAAAAAAATAAGAATGGGCCGGGCAGCACGTACAAAAAAAACTTGATTCATCGGTATGTCCCAACATTCTGGCAAGTGTGACGCAGACCTGGCCTCTCCAGAATTTATAAAGTCAACGTTCATAAACATTCATAACAGAGGAGGCAGTCAAAGTATCCGGCAGGATGAAGGTGAAAGCACAGAATAAGCGCAATGATACGGCAAGGTTCAGGAGTCTGTCCTGCATATTTCATGGAAGTTAGGCCTTTTTGATATTACTCCTTTAAAGCGATGGATCAAAAGGTGTTCCAGGCTGTCATACCTTGTCGATAAGTATTTAATTTTTTTGCGTGAAAAATTTGGGGGTGTTCACTTGTTCAGCATATTGCACAGGCATCAAGAGGGAAATTGGGTCGTTTTGATATCACTTCGAAAAAATGTTCCTCTCGCTTTTTTGTTTGTACCCTTATGGAGCACCTATTTTCGCTTGCCCGTTTCGATCTGACAACTTTTTCAAAAAACGATCCACCCTTCCAAAATGTTTCTTATTTCTGCTCAAGTTCATTATAAGCTGGCCTGGCTGTAGATGAAAATTTCATTCTCCTAAAAATATAAATCTTTATCGGATGTAAAAATCATGTACAGCTTTCCTTGAGTGTGATTTCCTAAACCATACAAAGATTAACCTAATTTTTCTCTTTTTTAGCAGATGATCCCACAAGAACTCCATCCGTCAACAACCATCATCATTACCTATCTTGTCAACAGCCTAAAACTAGTGTAAGTAATCTTTTGAAATGTTTGCAATCTAAATGTTATGAAACTTTACTCACCGGGTCTAAGGAAATGAGCCATCCAGAATACCGTAATTGCCTGTGTATGGGACTCCCATTTAAAATATGCACCTTATTTCGCAAGATCATTTGAGGGGAAGGACTATTATTTTTTGTGATTGAAAAAAGTGCCCTTCTCGAATTTTTTTTTTTTTTGGGGGGGGGGGGTGTTACTGTTTCTGTAACACTGATATTTCTGGACACAATAATGCCAGCAAATGTTTGATAGACCACATGTCTTTCATCTGCTCTTCTGCCGACCCCTCAGGCGCATTTGTGCTCGACTTAGTTACACTATGAGACTATCCCACTGTCCCCGACTTGGAGGTACAAACTACAAACTTTACTATCTCTGTAATGAATAATTAAGATATTTTATGTTAAGTTTAATGTGTTTTACATGAAATTTTGATGAAGAAATTTGTCTTTTGGAGATCTAATGCCAACCCGATCTTGTGAACAGTTTGGTTCATTGCAAGTCATACATATGTAGGATAGGGTGTAGCTTAATTTTGAAAAATGGCATTTTCAAGTTAGCCCTGAGCTAAATTTGTGCTACGAGGTCTAAAAAGTAACCTCTCCAAAAGAAAAAGAAATTAAAAAAATTTTGCAACGAATTTCTTTGGTCATATTTAGGTTTTTTAGCTCATATTACATGAGAATCGATGTGTCACACCTGCGGAAAATGTTTTGAATTTCGCTGGAAGTGGGAACAGTCCGGGAAAGCTTTTGGCCCGGAAAAATGGGACCTTCTAGAAAACGGGAGGTTGTTAAAGATGAATGAAAGTCAAATTCGAGGTCACTGCCTTTTAATACAGCAAGAAATACCTGAAGAAGATCTCGGAAAGTTTCTGAAACTACTTGCAGGAAAATCATCGCAAAAATACCTGAAAAGAGGGTTTTCTTAGGAAAAGTGATTTTTCCGGGAAAAGGATGGGTGATCGGAAAAATCCGAGATCATATTTGAATTCAACAGTACAAAATACAAAGGAATTGATGCATAGCACATCGGAGACATATTTAAAATATATTCTCATTACACTTTAAGTCCGGGGAAGCTTTTACGATACACAATTTTAGGCTCGGAATAATCGGCTTTACCAGAAAACTGGAGGTTGATAGGAAGAAACCGAGGTCATATTCGAATTCAGCAGATCAAAATACGTAAGTAACACACTACCATGGATCCAAAAAAATTTATAAAAACAAATTCCATTTTACGACAAATCTATGTCGAAGAACCCTGCATAGAGCATGGGGTCAGCGGCTCTCGGTGAAAGTTGATGAAACTTTAATAGATTGATATAAAGTTCATATTTAAGGGAAAGCCAAAAAATTAGCTCACTTTTGCGAGTAGGAGCCGAGATATTCGTAATTGAATCCGGACTATTTTCTATCATGCCGCAGCATGGCGGAAGAATTCCGAGTCCCCTCTCCTCTCGTTGTTCGGCGTTCTCGATCAGACCTCACGTCACTCACGTAAAGATAGGTGCTTTTGCGCTCGGCCGGTGCGAATGCTGTATTCCCTCCCTCTCCCCGCATCTGTCAATTCTGTTTCAGCAACTACATTTCAGATTAAACCGACCAGCGGCGGCGCCGACACGGGAGAGGTGCGAGAGGCAGGGAACTCCATATCGCACAGCCCGAACGGAACGTCCTAATCAAAGGAGTGAGTGTAAACAATGCAACATCGTAGTTACCTGGTGGGGAGAGGGAGTTTCCTGGCCGAAGTGCTCAAGCAAGTTAAGGCGACACGGAGAATTTTACCTCCGCCGCACAGAAAATTGTCCGGGTTCAATCGCGAATATCTCGGCTTCTACTCGCAAAAGTGAGCTAATTTTTTGGCTTTCCCTTAAATATGAACTTTATATCAATTTATTAAAGTTTCATCGACTTTCCCCCGCTGACCCCATGCTCTGTGCGGGGTTCTTTGCTTATTTTCTTGTGAAAAAGTCGCTTTTTCGGAAACTGAGAGGTGAACGGGAAAAATAAAGGCCATTTTCGGATTCAGCAGTTAAAAAGACATCAGTAGCATTGTAACTCGCAGCTGAGAAAAATTTCACCTACATTCTGCAGGGAGTAACAGTCGGTAAAACACCAAAAATTCCAAAAAATTGCCATTTTTCCGAGTAAAATCGGCTTTTCCGGAAAATTGAAGGTAGTAGGGCGGATAAGCATAACAATCGTGCATTTCTGGAAGAAAACATGAAACTTTCAGGATATCATCTTTACCTATAGAAGGTTCAATTTCGCAAGTGAGCCCAAAATTCTGAGGCCATGGGGGCCGGGGGGGCAGGGGGCCCTGATTTCGCTATGTTTTGCCGAATTTACGCGTTGGATCATCGTGAGAACGCCGTTAACAATGTAAAATGTAATCAAAACTTGTGTATATGTCATTAGTAGGTTCTCTCAAACAGTATCCTAAAATGCTATCACTGCCCGATCCCAAAGCACCCCTCAAAAGGCCTAAAATTCAAAATGGCGCCCATAATAAGGCCTCTGGAATATCGATTTTTTCACTTGTGCATATCCTGTCATGTGAGGTATCATTTTCCATGTAATTTGGGTCGCAGATTTCATATTTGAAGTCAAAACAACCCCCCGGTCAAAATTGGTGCCCCCAATCCAAGATGGCGTCCAAATTTGAAAGGCAGGAGGGTGCATTTTTTAAAATTTTACGCGATAAGGCAAGTGATATGTCATTTCCTATGTAATTTTGGTCGTAGATTTCATATTTGAAGTCAAAACAACCCCCCGGTCAAAATTGGTGCCCCCAATCCAAGATGGTGGCCAAATTTTAAAGGCAGGAGGGTGCATTTTTTCAAATTGTTACGTGATAAGGCAAGTGATATGTCATTTTCTATGTAATTTTGGTCGTGCATTTCATTATTGAAGTCAAAAAAGCCCTCCGGTCAAAATTGGTGCCCGAAGTCGAAGATGTCGGCCGAATTTGAAAGGCAGGAGTGTGAATTTTTATGAGAAAAAAATCACCTGAGATGACAAGTGAGGTATCAATTTATATGCATTTTTAGTCAACAAAACGAATCTAAATGAAATGTAAAAAAAATCTTTTACACAAAAATGATACGAGATAATTAAGAGGGTGATCAGTTTGGCCGTCCGCGGTAGGAATAATGTTAACAGGAGTATCTATAATGAGCTATTTTATTCATTTTTAAGCCCATATGATTTCTCAATAAAGATAAGGACATTTCACGCAACGCACCTGCCGTACCCTCTCCAGTCAGTATAGGAGAAAATCTTAATCACCACATGCTGATTCACATTCCCAGTCAGGCTCTTCAGGATTTTCCTCCTACGGTTCTGTAAGTTTTTACAGTTGGAGTCTTCAGAACTTCTGCATGAGTCTAAGAGCGAAATGATTATTTTCTTTGAGGTATAGCATGGTGTCACTCCCTTCCTTCCAATCACACCGGATAATTTCAAGCGGGGATTCCGGGAGCTGGAGGCAAGTCACTTAAATAGGATGAAGCTCCTTGTTTTTATTCATCCATCCCCAAAGACAAACAAGCATCCAGATCACTTCATCCCATCCTAAGTTGAGGATAAAAGTAGCTCCTAAATTAATGTTACCTACTTCACTGCTGATGGTGTCGAGTTTAATTTCTCCATCAGAAGACTTTGAAAGCTGGAACTTTTTCTTTCGATATGTGATGACGGAGGTCTTCGAAAGTCACATTTTTTTGGCTACCATTGAGGAGTAATATTTCGACGGGTAAACAGTAAAAGTGCGTATCTTGGTTGCAGGATTTCAAAATATTCGTTCCTATTTTATTTTTTGAAAGGGGGCCAAACCAACATCATGGCTTGAAATTTTTACAGAATATTCCTCACATAGAGAGTGAAAACAAGCAAAGTTTTCAAGATATGACTCCTGTATTTTTTAATGAAGGAATGGAAGTATGACAAGAAGTCTGCAACACCGCAAACCGAAATAGTATTTAAGCAGTTTCACCATCGATTTACTCTTTTCCAGCTCTTTATATCCGTTCATGATTTTGATTAGGTTCCAAGAACCTTCCTTTAGATTCTTGTAGGTAAGGATCAGATAAAAGCGTACAGAATAAAGTTGCTGTTCCTATTTTATGGATGTGAAAGGTTGAATCGCAACCAGTAAACGCATGCAAGAACAGCGATCATCTCGGATTTTGCGCGTTTAACATCACTTCGAAAACGCAAAGAAACATTGGTGTCTGCTCATCAATTTGATGGAACATAGGTTTGTGCAATGGATTCATAAGTATGCCTGTGCTTCGATCGCACTCGATGGAGTAGAGACCCACCAACTGAAACCGACTGAAAGTTTTCTAAATTATTTTCGGTACTTACTTATTAATTGTTCATCCTCTGAGTCTAGGGCATCTGAAATTGAGTTCAGAGTTTTTGTGCAGTAATCAGCAAGACACCTCACTATTAGTGGCTCATCATTTTTCACTTGTCAGCCATGATGGCAATCATCTTGATTATCTCGTTTCATTTTTGTGTAAAAGATTTTTCTTTACATTTCATTTAGATTCGTTTTGTTGACTAAAAATGCATATAAATTGATACCTCACTTGTCATCTCAGGTGATTTTTTTCTCATAAAAATTCACACTCCTGCCTTTCAAATTCGGCCGACATCTTCGACTTCGGGCACCAATTTTGACCGGAGGGCTTTTTTGACTTCAATAATGAAATGCACGACCAAAATTACATAGAAAATGACATATCACTTGCCTTATCACGTAACAATTTGAAAAAATGCACCCTCCTGCCTTTAAAATTTGGCCACCATCTTGGATTGGGGGCACCAATTTTGACCGGGGGGTTGTTTTGACTTCAAATATGAAATCTACGACCAAAATTACATAGGAATTGACATATCACTTGCCTTATCGCGTAAAATTTTAAAAAATGCACCCTCCTGCCTTTCAAATTTGGACGCCATCTTGGATTGGGGGCACCAATTTTGACCGGGGGGTTGTTTTGACTTCAAATATGAAATCTGCGACCCAAATTACATGGAAAATGATACCTCACATGACAGGATATGCACAAGTGAAAAAATCGATATTCCAGAGGCCTTATTATGGGCGCCATTTTGAATTTTAGGCCTTTTGAGGGGTGCTCCGGGATCGGACAGTGATAGCATTTTAGGATACTGTTTGAGAGAACCTACTAATGACATATACACAAGTTTTGATTACATTTTACATTGTTAACGGCGTTCTCACGATGATCCAACGCGAAAATTCGGCAAAACATAGCGAAATCAGGGCCCCCTGCCCCCCCGGCCCCCATGGCCTCAGAATTTTGGGCTCACTTGCGAAATTGAACCTTCTATAGGTAAAGATGATATCCTGAAAGTTTCATGCTTTCTTCCAGAAGTGCACGATTCTGGGAACTTTTCCCCCTTATCCGCTCTACTAAGGGTGATGGAAAAAACGGAGGTCATATTCGAATTCAGCGCCTCAAAATGCATGAGGATCACCTTGTGTCATCCAGGAGACATTTTTTCATTTTGGTTTGTAATACAGTGTTATGAGGCATATAACAAGAGATGGACATAAGCGGTTTTTGCATGCTTTGGACCACGGCCCCCCCCTGAAAAGGGGTTCAAACCTAAAGAACAAACATTTTCACCACATTAATGAGTGTGTCTGACCTCCAAGAGTATTTTAACCCAAAAATCTCAAAATTGAAAAAAATGACATCAGCAGTTTTCACATGAGCCGATTCAATTAAAAATTATACTAAAATTAAGAAGCAACTCTATGGATGTACTTGTTGCAGTTCTTCTAGATGATTAGCCACAACTTTCTAAGATCTTTTTATTTTTCTTTGCACTTTCTCAGATATTTGTAACAGATTTTGATAGGTAGTTTTCTTTATCTTTGGTGATTATACTATTAAATTTTTGCATGTGTTGTAGGGCTCTTTCTGCCGTGTAGTTCATAACTTTCAAGTCACTTACTACTTTCTTTGTTTCCAAGTAATCTGTAGTATATCAGCGAGACCTTAGCCCCTCATTCCTTATTTGAAGACAGGATACCGCCAGAACTAAGAGAAAGCATGCTTCAAAGATCTACTACAAAAAGGAAGATTACCACGACCGCCACTTTGACTCGCTTATTCTGCCCATGAACTACCAAAAAAGTTTCGTGATTTGTTCACTCAAAGCGGGAAAAAGTTTTTCAGTATAATAAGTATTTCCGACGGTTTTTTTTAAAAAAAGATCCCAAATTTTAGCCTAACCAAGCCGATTACTTGGAAGCAAAGAAAGAAGTAAGTACTTTGAAAGTTGTAAACGACACGGTAGAAAGAGCCATGCAAAAATTTAATGGTATAATAATAATCAAAGATAAAGAAAACTACCAAAATCTGTTACAAGTATCTGAGAAAGTGTAAAGAAAAACAAAAAAGATCTCAGAAAGTTGTGGCTAATCATCCAGAAGAACTGCAGTAAGTGCATCCATAGATTTGCTTCTTAATCTTGGTATAATTTTTAACTGTACCGTGTGTAATTTTGCTTTTTTTCCTTCCAGTAAAACCTATCCACCATTAGCGTGCCGCAGCCCGTCAGTGAAAGGCAAAAAAGTTACATGCATGGAGGGGGGGTTGGGGGCATCCACACGTTACGTGACGCCCACCTGACCGGCTCGGCGAATGCCTTTTGAAGGGCGTCTCTGACTAAACGCTTGCAGATACGCCAAAATGCTTGAAATTTACGCTTCTACGGTTCCTTAACTTGCCAATGGAGAATTTGCACGCAATTTTTTTATTGCTTCATCTGAAAGTGCCTAATGAGCTGAGTTCGCAACATTTTTCATAATTTTTTTCTGACATGGGAAATTGGAGAAAAATTGATTTAAAAGTGAGAAAATGCGCCGCCTTGTGACGTCATCTGGCGGCATTTCCCATTTAAACGCATGTATTTTAGCAGAATCGGTTATTTTGTCATATCTCCTCTAAGAATTGCTCAATTTATGAATCAAGGGTATCTTCGTGTTCAGTTCACTCAGAGGATTCCACTTAAACAGGAAATTCATCAAATTTCAGACCCTTGCAAATTCTCCATTGCACATATGATTGGTATGTGACATTGCCTAAAAGTCCAAATTGTACCTTATGCCCTTTTCAGGCGTTGCGCCTCCGGTAAAATTTTTTAATTTCTTTTTTTTGGAGAGGTTACTTTTTAGACCTCATAGCACAAATTTAGCTCAGGGCTAACTTGAAAATGCCACTTTTTAAAATTAAGTTACATCCGAATGTGGAGCTTGAAAGACAAAGCGCGTAAGTGCAGGTTTAGAAATTCAAGAGTAGAGATTAGAGCCCAGCCTCCTCAGTTGCATGCCATAGCTGGTCATGCTTGTATTTCAACAGGTGAGATACAAGGGAATGACTGGACCTCACTAAAGCACAGTAGATAAAAATAGGAAGGAAAGGCGAAGGATGAACAGAAATCCAGACCATTTTGGGTTTTCCCCGTTGAAAAAGGAAGGATGGAAACAAAAATAAAATCGTGTGCTCAGAAATATGTCTTGAATCAAAATTGAGTTGTGCATGTTTTTTGGTAGTTGAAGGTAAGGTCTATCAGAATACCAAGCAATTTTTTTTGGAAGTCATTTGACAAGGAGAAAGCAGGGAATGGAATAGGTGCAATTTTCGTTTAGAAGGGACGCGGGATAAGTGCGACTTACCGTCACTTTAAGCCCAACTGCTGGCCTCAATTTGGCTCAACTGAGCTGAAAATTTCAGATGCTCATGAAGGTGTGAAACAAACGCTTGTAAAGTTTGAAGGTATTCGGAGTACTCGATGGGTCCAAGTAAAATCTAGAACTTTAGACTCGTGTTTTTTTTTTGACTGCACTTATGCGCCTTGTCTTCCAAGCCCCTCATATGTTATTTTGTCATTTCAACTCATCCCAATGAATTATTCAGGTCTGCATTCAAAAGAATCACCAGGCATGTGATGGATAATAATTGCTGTGTTTTGTAGCGTCTAGTCCACCAGTGCTCAGGGCAAAAGAGATTTTCCAAAAAAAAAAGGACTCTCGAAAAACGAATTTAAAAAAAAAAAACTGGTGCAAGAGAGAGAAAAACCATGGTCATGTTCGAATTTAGCAGCTAGAAATACACAGGAACACATCTATGACATGCCTGAAAATTTTTCTCATTGTTCCTAGCTATTACTAGTCAAATAACATACAGTACCTTGAAAGTGAAAATTCAATCGCTTTGCATCTGAAAGGACGGGGAAATTTTTTCCCCGGATACCACAAGAATGCAGATATTCTCACCGTTTTTCTGCCGTTGAAGCTAAAAATGGCCTCAATATTTGCTCATCATCGTTTTTGAAAAATCAACTTTGCCAAAAGATACAGTTTTTGCAGTCTCAAATTTTTTTTCTTCTTCTTCTAAAGAAAAAGAAAATAAAAAATCGATAATCTAGAAAATGTATAAATGATGGGAAAAACTCAGGTCGTTTATTGCATCTGTTGCAAAAAATATGGACAAGTAGCCCTATCAAAAGTGCGAGGAAAAATCTTATCTTGTCCTTTCAGGCACAAAAAAATCAAATTAGTATCAGATGATAGCATACAGGCTACTAGTCCTTTGTCTGAAAATGCCTTGGTATACAAAACAGGAGGAAAATTCTCAGTTTTGTAGTAAATGTATTTCTTTTCATTTTTGGCCTTTAAGTCCAAAAGGATTATATTATGATAATTCTATTATTTTATACCTTTATAACTATCCTGTGTGTTCTTTCTCTAAACAAGTTCATTTTTTAAATTGGACACAGCTGTATACACATCTCAAAAACTCGAGTTGAAATTTTGAGTTTTTTAAAAAATTTTTTGGTTTTCCCCCTCTTCCCCAGGAATATGAAAACTGGTCAGAAGCACCGGGTATAGATCTCGATAAAGTAGCAGCGACCTTGTCTGTAAAAGGTAAATATTTGTTTATTCAACAAGTTGACTCTTATTACCATCAAACAAAAGATCTGTGATGATTTAATTGAAGTTAAATTTTAATCGCAAATAATTTTTGTATTTGTGAACAAATTAATGACGTATTAATGATTTTTGAAATTCACATTGTTCTGAGGGGAGCACATTGATCCAACAGCAGCACGTCGTTCCCAGGGTAGCATATCCTTCCTTTCTCACAGCAGTGCGTCACACACTGTGGAAGTAAGCAATTCTAGCCATACACAACCCACACCTTAAGATAATTTTTTTCATGGTATACTCCCGAGCTTTCGTAATCTAAGAGACTGCTTATGCTGTGATTTGACTTCCATTTGGAATTGGTTTTCCCATCTCTTCAGACTAATCTTTTGTTAGAAGAAATGTAGGACATCAAAGATGGTTTCCTTCATGTACATACCGTAATATGGGGTGAATGGGGACAGGCAGGTGAATAGGGACAATTTTGATTTATTTCCGTTCTTCAGTCATAACTTGGTAATTTTGGCACCTACAGAACTCGTTTTTTCCGAAAATGCATAGTTTGGCATCCTCTTTACTCAACCGGTGTAATCAGTGTTGTTTAGTGAAAACATAAAATGTCAACATAACCTCAAAACCAGACCTTGAAAAAAAGCGGTAAAACAAGCGTGATAACGTCCCATGCAAGTGGATCACGAATTAAAGAAAAGTTTTTTTTTATGTTATCACATTTTGACATCATTAGTTACCTTGTTTATCACCTTGTTGTTAAATGATGAAATTTGCTCGATATTTAGGTGGTTTAAAAAATATTTTTCTCCAAAAAACGAGCAGTTAGGAGTATCATAGATTCAGACACTGGGGAGGGGCTTTCTTTGAAATTTTCCGCCTCTTATCACATCCTTTGGAATACTTTTATGTACCTATTTCATATTCTGAGGCTTTTGAATACTGCCCTGGTTTAATTGAGGAATTTATCTTTCAGATCTCACAATGATCAGGACGCAAAGGACAATTGTCACCTGTTTGCTTCTTACTATTTAATTTTTGTTAATTAAAGACATGTTTTTCCAATTCAGATTCGAATTTCACTGTTTTTTAAAACTCAGGTAGTGTCTCCATTCACTCTCCAGTTGGCAGAGTGGGAACAACGCTTTATTTAAATTGAAATCTGCTGGTGTCCCTATTCACCCCAGTGGAGGCTGAATAGGGACAGTAGGTAAAACAACAAAATTAAAATAGTTGAAATTTTCGTATCACCAAAATTTTGGGGGAACGTAAAGGTCTTACAACGTAACATCTTCCTGTTAAAAAAAAAACCGAATTCTCGAAATCAGTAGGCCACAGAAGTGTATTTGTATAAAAAACTGTCCCCATTCACCCCATATTACGGTACTTAAAATTGTTAGTTGAATTGCTTTCTTTGAAGCTCAGTCAGAGAGAAATACGATTTGACTCGGAACAAATTGCTTAACAAACTTTTCCTATGTAAACGTCACCAGTAGGTCCTCCTGAAAAACATACCAAAAGTTTACAACGATCCGACCCTGGGACACCCCTCCTAAAAGGCCTAAATTTCAAAATGGCTGCCATAATGGTCTCTGGGATTTCGGTTTCTTAAAATGTGCATATAGTGTCTTTAATAATCGCCTTTAATAAACCAAAAACTCATAATTGAAGTTGTTTTTAATTTCACATATTAATGTTCTCATAAACTATTTAGATTTAAATAATTAGAAAATCTGGATCAATTGGACGTGTGGGGTATCAATCCCTATGTAATTTTGGTCGTAAAATTCAGAAATTAGGTCAAAAAAGTCTCCGGTCAAAGGGGAAGCCCCAAATCCAAGATGGCGGCTAATTTTGAAAGGCAGGAGGGTGAATTTTAAAATGCGCTTATAGGTTCATGTGAGGTATCATTCCCTATGTAATTTTGGTCGTAGATTTCATTTATGGAATCATAAAAGCCCTCCGGTCGATGGGGGTGCTCAAATTTCAAGATGGCGGCTAAATTTGAAGGACAGGAGGGTGGATTTTTGAAATTTTTACGTGACATGGCAAGTGAGGTATCATTTCTCATGTAATTTTGGTCGTAGATTTCATTTATGAAGTCATGAAAGCCCCACTGTCAAAGAGGGTGCCCCAAATCCACGATGGCGGCCAAATTTAAAAGCAGGAAGTTGAGCCAAAAAAACAACAATCACATTAGAAGGCAGGTTGGCTATCAAATTCTATGTATTTTTAGTCAAGGAGTCTGAATGAAATTTCAAAAATTGATTTTACACAAAAATGAGACGTGACATGCAAGATGGTGACCATCATAGTCGAGAAATCATAAATGGTAAGGTGTCTCGCTGATTAGTGCACAGTAACTCAGAATTCAAGTTTAGATGCCTTAGACACAGAGGATGAAAAATCTGAAAACCTACTGTAAGTACCAGGATAATGAAGTAAAAGTTCAGTACGTTTTAGATGGTGGGTCTTCACTTCACCGAGGGCCATGGAAAGAGGGCAAACCTATATTATTTGGATTCATAAATTAAAATCATCGTACAGTTCAAAGTACAGTTTCAAGAACCTTTCAGCATTTTTGTATTGGTAAGGATCCGATATAAGCGTACCAAATATAGTTATGCTTTTCCCATTCTGTGAATGTGAGAGGCTAAATCGCAGCAAAAGCCAAAACGTATGGAATAGAAGCTGCTAACATAAACTTAGATCGATTCTATGACGGATTCAAGGGATGTTGTGAGAGATTGTCTTGGACTTTTCGCAATTAATATCAAATCTTAAGTGCAAAGAAAAATTGATGTCCTCGGATCTATTTTTTTTTTTAAAAAAAAAACGAATTTGTTTCGAACCGTTTCTGTTCACAATAATTGTGTCAGTTTTCTTATGTACAAGGTGCACCAACCTCTTTGACAATATCAAGAGCTGCATCTTATTTCAGTTGCACGACCTTAAAACCGGTGGATTCGAGGCGTGTGCCGATGATCGGGATAGGTTTACTGTTAGTGACTGAATTTGTCAAAATTTACCTCTATTTTACCAACAAAAGATGAATTTGGTGAGAAATTGACTGTAGGCGCATATCTGAATTTTTGGCTTCTTTTAAGGCGATTGGAGTCTTTAATAAATGGTCCATTTCCTCGGCACCCGTCAAATACTGCCGTGCCTTCAGATTACTTGGAAAAAAGAATATAGCGTAGAACTGTATGATGATTTTAATTTATGAATCCAAATAATATAGGTTTGCCCTCTTTCCATGGCCCTCGGTGAAGTGAAGACCCACCATCTAAAACGTACTGAACTTTTACTTCATTATCCTGGTACTTACAGTAGGTTTTCAGATTTTTCATCCTCTGTGTCTAAGGCATCTAAACTTGAATTCTGAGTTACTGTGCACTAATCAGCGAGACACCTTACCATTTATGATTTCTCGACTATGATGGTCACCATCTTGCATGTCACGTCTCATTTTTGTGTAAAATCAATTTTTGAAATTTCATTCAGACTCCTTGACTAAAAATACATAGAATTTGATAGCCAACCTGCCTTCTAATGTGATTGTTGTTTTTTTGGCTCAACTTCCTGCTTTTAAATTTGGCCGCCATCGTGGATTTGGGGCACCCTCTTTGACAGTGGGGCTTTCATGACTTCATAAATGAAATCTACGACCAAAATTACATGAGAAATGATACCTCACTTGCCATGTCACGTAAAAATTTCAAAAATCCACCCTCCTGTCCTTCAAATTTAGCCGCCATCTTGAAATTTGAGCACCCCCATCGACCGGAGGGCTTTTATGATTCCATAAATGAAATCTACGACCAAAATTACATAGGGAATGATACCTCACATGAACCTATAAGCGCATTTTAATAATTCACCCTCCTGCCTTTCAAAATTAGCCGCCATCTTGGATTTGGGGCTTCCCCTTTGACCGGAGACTTTTTTGACCTAATTTCTGAATTTTACGACCAAAATTACATAGGGATTGATACCCCACACGTCCAATTGATCCAGATTTTCTAATTATTTAAATCTAAATAGTTTATGAGAACATTAATATGTGAAATTAAAAACAACTTCAATTATGAGTTTTTGGATTATTAAAGGTGCTATTTTAATAATACATTTAATTATTTTTATCCTTATATTAATTACCATAATAATTTTTAGAAAAACTAAAACTATCATGATTGAATGCGCATTTTAAAAAACCGAAATCCCAGAGCGACCTTATTATGGCAGCCATCTTGAAATATAGGCCTTTTGGAAGGGGTGTTCCGGGGCCGGACCGTGGTAAACTTTTGGTAAGTTGTTCAGGAGGATCTACTGATGACGTTTACATAGGAAAAGTTTGTTAAGCAATTTGTTCCGGGTTAACCCCTTTTTTTTCGTATTTCTCCTTGACTAGCTCCGTAGTTTTTTCTTGAAATTACTCACCATTTTAGCAATTTCCGTGGTCATATGGGTCTACAAGTTGTATCAACCATTGTTCTAAACTTCAAAATAATTATTGTGATAAAATGTGCATTTCGAACTTAGAATATTCACTGTAATCTCTGATTAAGTCGATCATCAAACTCTCAGTACGTAAAAAATTTTATTATAGTGGTGGGCTTGGTATCTGGTCGACTTAAAAAGATGCATTTTCCATAAGAAGTTGACTACTTATTTTATTTTGTGCATTTTACAGCTAGTGATTCATCTGAATTCATGCGCAAAACATTGGAGGGTCTTCACATTCGCAAGAGAATACCCTCTAATTCACCTGGAAATCATGAATTCAACTCTGTCAATTTTCAACCAGTAGGTAAGTGAAAAAGTCAGCAACTTTAGCCTGTGACATTCTGCAGAACGAACTTCAACCCAACTAATTTTCTTCTTGCTGTTTTTAAGACTTTCACTGTTATTTTTTGAAAAATGGGAAAGTGGCAATTTTAGATCTTTCCGGTCAAAATTCTATGAGCAAGCTCTTGCACTACTGTTAAGAAATGTAGAGTCCCCATTGTTGCTTTAAAACCACCGCTTCTCGTTAGGGAGAGGATGATTAATATCCATTAAGAATAAAAAATTTCCCTGCCGTACCAGGTCTACTTCATCCTGTGCAATGGTGTCTTGCATTGCAACAGAAACAGCAAGGGTATCATTCAGACCAGGTGATACTGACCAAACCTCTTCCAGTCTAATTAGCATGACAACATACAAAGGCTGCCCCAACAAACTAAAGACGAATCCCGTTCGAAGCAAACTATTCAAGATAGGTATCAGAGTACGGTTTGCAGGAACTTGTAGCTTACTTCATTAGCTTTCTGAGTAAAACAGTGCCAAGTTTTTTTCAGTTAAATCCACACTCTTTCGATCTTGAAAAATCAGACCAATGAGATCCCTTCATCTACCAATATAGTTGTCTTTTTCTTATTGTGTTACCAATTTTGCAAAACTTCTCATTTGTCTCCATGTGTATTCAACTTTCGTGGCTAAGGATGCTTGTTTGATTTTCGTTACAACTCCTGCCTCAGATAAGTTAAAAAATAGTTTGACAAAATGCCTGACATCTTTTTATGCAACAACTATGCATTGGTACAAAAATTAAGTGTGTTACACCTTTTTAGTGTATTTTCCGAAGGAAATACACTATTGCGTTCTCCCCTGATGTCAGACCTGGACCAAAGACCATGTATTGAGCATCGATCATGGGTCGTAGATTACAAATATGCATGCCGTTTGGATTCATATATATATATATATACTCTAGACTTATAGACTTTTATATATATATACACACGCTTATTTATGTATGTATTTCCGACTCATCGTGGTTTTTCCGATTTTCGCTGGGTTATATTTCCCTCATTTTAAAAAAGTTCCGGGTGAAACTTTTTGCGACGTAAAGTAAAGGAACAGGACTACCATTCTGCCAAAAAAAAACGGAGATCGAAGTATTACATTTCGAATGGTGGGGGCGAGAAGTGGGGGGAGGTTCAATTTTGTGGGCGCGATAACTCGCGCAAATTAAAAGCTTCCCCCCCCCCCGAAATTTTTATAGAAGGAAGATCTTACTTAGTTCTAGGCTGGCATTGAATTTGAGCGAAATCGGTCGAGCCGTTTAAAAATGGCGAGCTTTGAAAGTTTTTTTTCCTTAATTTTTCTTGGAAGCGCACAAGCATGGTGCAGTTGAATCTGTCATTGCGAACATAATCCATAACATCACTGTCTTGCAGCTTTACTTTCTGTTTTTTCCTTTCTTTTTCAGGTACTCGTCAGCAATCCAGCCCATCGACTCCACTGAAAAAGCAGCAACAATATCTGTGATCATATTAATATCAATTTATTACAAAAAAGAAGGAAAAAAAGTTTTGATTTTTACCTTTTTGTATCAAATTAACTCGAGTTTTATGAATTAGAGTAAATTATTTTTCGTTTGTAATTTTTTCATTTCTGTTGAGTATTGTAAGGTTATGATGTGTTAAGCAAGAGTAGCGTTTGACATTTTGATCAAGAAAATCCATCACAAAATTCAAGTTTGAGACATTATTACCACATCCTCCATCCGGCCCTGGTCGAACTTTTTAGCGACTTCTTCCATTACTAAATTTTAAGACACCTCTCAGACATAAAGGTCTCTTTGAATAATGAAACTAGAGAATCTGTTAAAGAAGATAACATTAATATACTCCATTGATGCAATGAAAAAACGAGCCCAAAGTTAGAACCGCTGCATTGCGCTACATGGTGGTGGCTATATCAAAAAGTAACATATTATTCTGAAATTAATTATATCTTCCATCATTTACTTTCTAGCGCTTAAAAATATCTTCAACCGTTCCTGTAATATTTACAAAAGAGCTTTACTTTCTGTTTAACTTTCTCATTGTTTTTTTGGCAGAGCATATCGTAAAATAAATAGGTAACTCATGTTTATTTTGCACACTTTATTTCTTGTGATATCATCTATGGTATATAAATTAGGTATTATAAAAACAGTACAAGGTAGAAAAATTATGTAAGAAAGTTACAATCAATTTGAGGGAAAAAAAGCTTATATCGAAAATACAAAGGGTACTCATAATACTATTATCAACTACTATGCAGTGGGCACTACAATAATCCAGTGACCAACCCTCATTGCAAGCGTAAATTTTATTTTTACAGAGATCTATGCTTGAAAAAAGTTCAGTGATCTCAAATTTGATTTGAGCACAGCTAACCGCTCAAAAAATCTTTTCAGAAAATTTAAACGACTGTTCATAATAGTTATGTTTTTTCTGGGGACTACTCAGTTACTTGATGTTTTTAGCATAGAGATTCTAAAATAAAAACCACTATGCACATAAATAGAGCCATTCAGGAACTGCTGGCTCCATCCTGCATGTTCTCAAAGATACAAAAGTTTACTCAGGAAAGCTGTTAGTGAAATAAAAACCAAAAAGTATGAAGTCAAAAGACGATTGAAGTTAGTTAACTTGCATAATGTATTAGATGCTCAAATCCCCCCCCCCCCCCCNGGTCCCCAAATCTGGCTGTTTAAAAATAGAATTGAAGGGAAAGAAATTCAGGAATTTGAAAGTCAACCGCCCATGAACGTCTCTGGGATAATTATTCTTACTGGAATCTCATTTTGTTTTGTTCTGCCCAATGCTGGCGACAATCGCCGCTTCAGTTCAGAAAACTTTTGAACAGGCTTTTATTCAGGAAAATGCGCACTTTGATTTTGCGCTTTTTCATAGTTTCTCAAGCTAGGTGCGAGTTGGTTGCTGTCACTGGGTAGATCAAACAGAGGCAAAATTTAAACGAAAAGATTTGGATACATAGATCTTGATGGGCAGAATACTTTCAGAATTTTTTTTCGTACTTCCTCTTCTTTTCTTTCAAGGAAACTCATTTTTCTGAAGTGTTGACACACTCGCCAACTACTGAAATAAACACAATATTTTACAGAATTTATGCGATAATTACAAACAATTACACAATTTTTTTACAAAATGCATGAGCTCATGAGGCCAACACTATTTCTTCATTCTATCGCTCCCTCTAGGCTCACTCCCATCATTGAAGAATTTAAAGTGTTACGTAGAGAAGAAAGGAAGTACTTCAGTACAATTTTGGAGGGGTAATGAATGATCTTCATGCTGCCATTTCCGGGCCATGAACCTAGGACCTAGCAGAAATTTTGAAAATACAACTTTTTTACTATCAAGGCTTTTAAAATGTGGTGATACACAGTTCAATTTTAGGCCATTTCAGGCTCTTAGCATGTGCGCACCAGATGACCTTTTTATAAAGAATTATAAGAAATTTCCTGGCAAGTTAGTAATTTTAGGTACTCTTACTCTACTTCCTTCTCGTCAAGGAAAGGAATGAAACATAATGGGCTCGTTTCTACCCAAGAGATATTTCACAATGAAGACAATAGATTCCGTAAAATGTTACCATTAAAAAGAGAAGAAGAAAAAAGTGACTCTTGGAGAAAACGGTAGGGCACCTCCCCCACTTGTGTTTTTGATGCACCATTACTATTAGTTCTGCAGGAATTCATTTGACATGGAACAATTTCTAAATTTTCCAATAACTAACTTGTGCATTACATAACTGGCACATCATGTGTAACAAAGTATGCAAACTTGCTTCAAATAAGTCTCCCCAAATATATACAGAGGTGACTAGTAGATGTGATACAAGCATTAACAGCAACTGAGAATTGAATACATACCTAAGGAAATCTCGAGGATCCTGACTTATCTACATTGCACCCATGAAAAATGTAGCTGCTCAGCTACCTATACATTTTTTTCTTTTCTTCCTTATATATTATTGAGGCAGGTTTTCATTGGCAGTTGAAAAGGTGGTCAGCACAAGTAAAAATAGGCTATGAGCAAATACATATTATCAAAATTGGTATAAAGCTTCTTAAATACTGATCGGATAAGATAAAATATTAGACGAATTAGGTACACCTATTTCACAGAAACATAGTTTACAATTTAAAGTTGTGAGCTTTGCACCCATTTGTGGATTCGAATGACAGAGATTTTGAGTTTTGTCTCCATCACTGAGAAAATAAACTTCTAACCGAAGTGATGACTTCTATCCATAGGCATTGAAAGAATAAAAATATATTTGATCTTTGACCAGTTGGAGTGGAAAAATCGTTGGGGGCATTAGCCTCAACTGTGTACTGAAATTAAGCTTTTTCACGATATACTTCCATTTGAGATATTTCTTGTACCTATTTTGGTAAGAATAATAAGAAAGGAAGATAGAATTGCTTCTTTCATAAATGAAATTCTCTCTTTTGAAAGCGCCTGGATTTTTTAGACAACCTCGTAGGTGATTTAAAAATTACATTTATTTTGTTAAATTATATTTTCTCTTCTAATTCATTTGTTCATTGTTTTTAGTAAATTTAATTTACTTTGTAACTCCGCCTAGAGGCGAGTTGTTTTTCTCTGGCTGGTCCTAAGACAAGGAAAAAGAGGAGGGTTAGGTATAGGGCTAGTAACCCTACCACGTAGAAACACCCGAGCTACGAGAACCAAGACAAAGCTTCGGTACCCAGACAACATATGTATAAATCGACCTAAAGAGAGCAGATCACGGAAAAAAACCAAGGACATCATATTAGCCACATGGAATGTAAGAACCATGAAGAAAGCAGGAAAAATTATGGAAGAAGCCAAAGAAATGCAGAAATGTGCCATTGACATCATGGCTGTTTGAGAAATCAGATGACAAGGAGAAGGAAGCATAGAACAGAATTCTATTTCTCGAACAGCCATGATGTCAATGGCACATTTCTGCATCTCTTTGGCTTTTTCCATCATTTTTCCTGCTTTCTTCGTGGTTCTTACATTCCATGTGGCTAATATGATGTCCTTGGTTTTTTCCCATGATTCGTTCCCTTTAAGTCAATTTATACGTATATTGCCTGGGTACCAAAGCTTCGTCTTGGTTTTCGTAGCTTGGGTGTTTCTACATAGTAGGGTTGCTAGCCCTATGCACAACCCTCCTTGTTTTCCTGGGCTCAGGACCAGCTAGAGAAGAACAACTCGCCTCTAGGCAGAGTTACAAAATAAATTAAATTAACTGAAAACAATGAATAAATAAACTAGGAGAGAAAAGAACATCACAAGGTTTCATTTAAGCCACATACAACTGAAATCTCCGGGTCTCAAAAAAGGGACCACTATTTGGAAGGCTTTTTTTGGAATAAAGGTTATTTTGAACTTAACTCCATAATTTTCAAGAGCTTGTGCAGTTAACAGATGCTGTTACGGATTTCAGTTGAACTACATTAGTGATGAGCACTGGCATCAATCTTCAATCCTAGCCAAAATTAAGAATGAGAAATGAGATATAACCTGAGAAAGATAAAAAAGAGAATTATGGGCGATTGTAAAAGATACAACTTGTGATCTCGACAAGCTTGCTTACAAAATAACTATAAAAATACCGCTATCTTTTCATTGTTTACTTTTCTTTTTCTTGTTGATAATGACCATGACAATTACATTTTACCAAATTGCGAAAGATACAGCAAACTTTGAAAATTTTAGTGGGGGAAAAAAAATGGAAATGTCTGAGACACAATCAGTCTTAATTAGGAAAGTCTATTTTATATAAAGAATTCAAACAGAATTTACACATTTTCTATGAGTCTTTACTCTACAAGCTGCTAGTGAATTATTGGTCTTTGATTATGAAATGTTTCATATATAATGCCTACCCATTTTCAAATAGTAACTACGTACAAAATATTAAGAGAATTATCACGAGATCAACAAGTAATGTAAAGCTCAGTTCGATCATCTCAGAAAAAAACATTTTTGAAGAGCTTTGATTTTCATAGCACAAAATTTTGAGTCCACGAGAGAGAGCTTCACTGACTGAACAAACATGTCAGACTTTAATTTTTGAACCAGCTAGTCAGCATGAAAGTATTCATCTCCTCTAGAACTAAGATTGCGTGCTGCTGTTTTTTCCTGCACAGACTTCGAATCTTGCATGAAGAACTAAAAAAATAAACATTTGAATACTTCCATCAATTTCATTCATGGTTCTTTGTTAGTCTCGTGGATCTTTAAACACATTTCTTACGATTATCAGCTGTATTGTCAAAGCTACTTCATGGAATCAAGTTAAAGTTACTTTGATAAATATCAAATCATAAATATTTTAAGCATCAAAAAATAAAAATCTTACATACATTAGAAAAAAAAAACACTCGTACTAAAACATTAGCTCTTTTACACTGAAACAACTTCATATCCCCAGTGTAGACGACAATATGTAGGAAATATTAGGTCTAAATTTGTTGGCACAATATTGTGTCAAAATCTAACCAACACTAAAATGATGACAGTAATCCATTAAGGTGACATTGAACCAATATTTATTAAGTTTTTTTTTTTTTTTTTTTTTTGGACGTTCAGTCAGTAGGGGTCAATATTGATTCAGTATGTTCTTTCCATATTTTGATGAAATTTGTTTCATATTTCTTCTTTCAGGATAATGTAAGTTTTAAAAAACAAAGAGTTATAATCTTGTTTTTTAAAAATAGATTTCAATAGTATTCGTCAATCATACGATACTTCAATAGAAAATATCATACCTGACATTACTAGCTAAATACTCTGACTTAACTAGGAAACTCTCTAAGAGTTTTTAGAATCAACAATCCTAAAAGACTAACGGCAGGAACGTAGAGATTGGACAAGATAGAGAAGTAGTCTAAAAAAAATTGCTGGTTTGATTACCCAGGAAGTAAATCATATCCAGTTTCAATAAAAGAGGAGAATACTAGAAAAATTGAGATCTGTTACATAATTATACAATGAATGACTTGGGCTGGCATTAACATTCGAATTCTGAGGCAGTTATGGCATTTAGATCCTTCATCAAGCCCTCAAGATTTGCCATTTCTTGATTCAACTCCTCAGTGCTATATGAAGGCTAAAAAACAAAAGAAAAAATTAAAAATGTACGTGAACTTAATGATAGGTTGGTTCCAAGGAGCATGATTTGAAATTCTCAAAAATAAGTGCAGTAAAGAGTGACCCTAAGAATGGCACAATTTGGGACCGCAGGGATTTTTCTAAAACCAGGCCCAAACGATACCCTATGATACCCTAAAACTCTGGTCAAAATTTTAACTTGAATATACGCATGGTTTTTGAGAAATGGGGGGGGGGGCAAAGTTGCCAAATTGCCATCATTCTTGATGGCAAAAGGACAGGAAAAATGGACGAAAACGTTACACCTTCGATGCGTTTTGGCTTTAAATGTTCCTGCTGGGCCCCCGTGCATACAGTGTGATCCAAAAGTCCCTTCCACCCCCTCTAACTTTTTACCTAATTGAGATTAAGATTTGAAACTTCGGGGATATTCCTAGGTCAAAGGGAGCTACTTTTTGGCCCCCTCAAATTTTCAGGGGGGCCCCCCTTGGGGGGGCAACGGCCCCCAACTTTTAATTTTCAAGTGGGAAGACCCCCTTTGTGATAGCTCGTTCGAAAGAGCATAAAAAATACAACTTTTCGCGCAAACCCGAAGTCAATATCTCAAACCGTTTCAAAATGGCGGCCGGTTAAAGTTCAAAATGGCCGAAAATTCACACCGGTTATTTGTCGATGGATTTGCGCGAAAATCGGTACATAGGGGTATTTTGACACGAGAAAAACGAATTTGACGTTAGATTGTCAAAAAAACCGAAATTTCCAAAATGGCCGCCAGTTAAAGTTCAAAATGACCAAAAATTGATTTTTTTATAAATCTAAGTTCAAATTTGTTTATCTTATGCCAAAATACTCTCAAATTCCAAGTTTGAGGAAAATCCATCAGGAAAAAACCGAGGTAAAAATTTTCGTCCATTTTAAACCTTAACCGGCGGCCATTTTGGAAATTTTGGTTTTTTTGAAAATCTAACGTCAAATTCGTTTCTCGTGTCAAAATACCCCTACGTACCGATTTTCGCGCAAATCCATCGACAAATAACCGGTGTGAATTATCGGCCATTTTGAACTTTAACCGGCCGCCATTTTGAAACGGTTTGAGATATTGACTTCGGGTTTGCGCGAAAAGTTTTATTTTTTTATGCTCTTTCGAACAAGCTATCACAAAGGAGGTCTTCCCATTTGAAAATTAAAAGTTGGGGGCCGTTGCCCCCCCAAGGGGGGCCCCCCTGAAAATTTGAGGGGGGTCAAAAAGTAGCTCCCTTTGACCTAGGAATATCCCCCAAGTTTCAAATCTTTACCTCAATTAGGTAAAAAGTTAGAGGGGGTGGAAGGGACTTTTGGATCACCCTGCATAACTGTAAAAAGTATTTATAAATGAAGTAAAACTGTTGGTCCCCTGCAGAGTTCAGATCGTGGATGAATTCATGCATTTAATTTTTTTAAATTATTATTGTATGTCAGACCATATTGTTCACACAAGTTTGTTATAGTACTAATTGCCCCATTTTGAACCACTGTGCGATGAAAATTTGTAAAGCCGAACATAATTTAATGCATTGAGGGCCGATAAGAACATTGTTAGCCATGAACTCTGTAGCAGAGTATCAATTTAATTTTACTTCCATTTTTAAAAAGTTTGACAAAGAATCCTGATTTGTCCATGATTTCTCCCCATTTTGGACCATTGTGCGGCCGAAATTTTTGAAACTGAACACAATTTTATGCACAGGCACAGGGGCCCAATAAGAACATTTACAGCCAAAAAATGACAGCCATGACCCATCAAAAGTGTAACTTTTTTGTCCATTTTTCCCGTCTTTTTGTTGTAAAAATGCTGTCAAGAATGATGGCGATTTGGCAACTTTGCCCCCCCCCCCATTTCTCAAAAACCGTGCGTATACTCAAGCTAGAAGTTTGACCAGAGTTTTAAGGTATCATAAGGTATTGTTTGGGCCCAGTTTCAGAAAAATCTTCGCGGTCCCGAATTGTGCCAAAAAACGGGTTGTTTTTAGGTTCACTCAATCAATACATAATAATTAGGTTTGTGAAACTTATTTTTTTTTGTGTTTTCATTTTCCAGTAGAAAAAAGCATGATGTTTAAACAAATACACATTCATGTAATACACACGTATTGGTTTACATATATACCAGCCACTCGCGGAGCACTTAGTGCATTGAGCACAAGCAAAGGACCCCCATTATTTGCGGAGCGAGTAATAGTGGCTTCTTTTCCCACATTTCTTATCAGATCAATTGATTTGAAAAGACACCCAACTCGAAACCGCATAGCACTCGCTAGTTCTATCAAAAACTGCTGATAAGTTACGAAATGATGGGATCGTTAGTACATACTTCAGCTTTTGTTATTTTAACTTTTTCAGTTTTCTGTGTTTTTACACGACCATCCAAAGGAAACACTTGCTAAAATGTCCTTGATGTAATTCAGGGGTAAAATCAACCCTTTCTTTTTCAAATATCGAAGAATGAGAAACTGCAGGGACATGATTATGCAAACCAATCAAGAAGGCAAGAGTATAATAAAGAGAGTGTAATTTGAAATAGATAGAAATGACTTACTTGGATTTTAGACAACTGCAATAAATCAGATTGCCAAGGTTTAGTCGAAGAAGTACTTGCTGGCCCAGGTGGTAGTGTGCTTCCAGCTGTCGGAGGTGCTTTTTTATACGGGCTACTTGAGCCATGAGATCGAACTAAAAAAGACAGAGGATAGAAAAAGTGAGGTGAAAGGAAACAATAGGATGAATGAAAAATGATTGATTTAAAGATAAATAATGCAGATGGCCTGGTATATATGTTACGGGCAACGTCCGGGTCTCGGGCAAAGTCAGTCTTTGCCCGGGCATTGATGACGGTGCCCAACTCGCCTGGGCATCGTCGTCATTGACCGGGCATTGACGACGGTGCCCGCGCGAGTTGGGCATCGTCTTCCACGATGTAATTGAGGCATTGCCCGGGCATTGACCGTCCTTGGCGGGCAGCGGCAACGATGCCCCTGCACCATTGGGCAACGTTGCCGCGGGCAACGGGCCACGGTAGGCGACCAAACTTGTCACTGCTTGAGGAGACCGAATGGACCTTGTGGCAACGAATCTAGTGGATGTTTTCTGTCTTTTAGGAGCACCTTCAATTTTACAATCTGACAACGGCCGTGAGTTCGTCAATTCCATTATAAACAATTTGAAGGATATGTGGCCCACTTTGAAAATAGTGCATGGTAAGCCTCCACAGCCAGTCGCAAGGCTCTGTGGAGCGGGCTAACCGCGATGTGGGGGAAATGCTGGGAGCCTGGATCAAAGACCAGAATTCTGAAGACTCGGTTGCGGGTCTCAAGTTCGTTCAGCTAAGTAAAAACAGAGCCTTTCATCTTGGAATCAAAATGTCTCCTTATGAAGCGATGTTTGGCTGCCCTGCAAGAGTGGGACTGAAATCTACGAGGGTCATCCAAAAAGTAAGGTTCCCTACCTTGTATCTTCCGAACGAAAAGAGATAAATCAAAGCGGTAAAAACGTACATATTAGGCATACTTTAAGCTTTAAAACAAGCTCAAGTTTTTGAAAATCGGTTGAGGACCTCGCGAGAAAACTCAATTTTACTGAGGCGACCTCCCGTCGTCGCGTGCCCACCTCCGAGGTCAGGATGCGCGGAGAGTCCCTTACTTCAGACTCGGCTTATCGCCTCTAAACATCAAATCGAAAAGGAATTTAAAAGATTTTATCAAGTAGGCCTTACCTCACTTTTTGAGATAGTCTCCGTATCTTTTTTGACATTTTTGGTATCATTACAGCAGCTCTTTCATGCCTTCCGCGTAAAAGGTCTCGTCTTGGCTCGAAAACCAGTCATTGCCAGCGATCTGCACTTCCAAATCAGTTGCTTACCGTGGTAAAATTTTTCCCCAATCCTCCATACTCTCTTAATCTAGCCTCAGAAGACTTTCGTCTATTCCTGAGAC